CCTCCAAATATCAAGTTGGGCATTTCTCTTGCAATGCTATTGCTAACATTAATCCACTCAGCAAGTCTTTTCTTCACAACCAGTAGTCAACTTCAAATACCCGCTTCACGCACATAAAGGGGAGATGTATGGAGTTTTGCTATTAGCCCGTGGAATCCAATGCTCCCATTTGTCAGAGAATGCTCTCTGAGCTGACGTACTTATTACTCAGAGACTGCTGTCAAATCAGTGATAACTGTATACTTCCATACCTCCAGCATTGCAAATAAAAAACCAACACTCACTTTCACCCAGACAAGTCTTGTCTCTAGACAGATACACCCACACACACATATCTGTGTGTAACACAAGTATATAAACATCTACACACAAATGCTCCATCACATTCTTAATTATGCAAAAAACAAGTCTGTAGAAGCAACTGCATAAGCCTGTAAGATGTAACTTCAAGTTGATTACATACTAGATGCATGACTTAAACGATGGGAAGAAGGCTAGGGAGAGCTGTGTAACTTGGCAAATGAAAGTCGTATGACAGGTGGGCTGGAGGGGCAGAGCATGTGAGTGGAGAGAAGAGTGAGCAGAGCAAGCCAGTCTTTCAGTATTTGCTGAACACTTGATCTCCTGTGGGCAGAAGTGTGTTGCCTTTATTCTTTTGCTCATTCTCCCTTCTCAGTTTTAAAGAGACCTGCTCTCTGAGCAAGAAGAGTAAGACCAAAAGGGAAGAGCTGTCAGAGAAGAGGATCCGAGAGGAATATGAAAAGCTGGGAGCCATTAGGTAAGAATGGGCCTCTCCTCCGGGAGAGAAAGCATAGCTGGGGAGGCCAGCACAGAAGCAGCCTTGCTTCCGACATTCCTTTGAAGTGGGGGAGGTCCCCTCAACCATAAACCCAGGCATTTAGAGATGCTGCTTACTGCCAGAGTCTAGCTGGCTCAGATTCCAGGTGGCTGCCCTTCCCTTCACTATATCCCCAGTCTGATGTAAGGCCATGGTAAGGGGGTGGAGTGTCATGGGGCACCCGGAGGACAAAGAACAAGGCAAGACAGCACAGCCACCTCTTGGCTGAAATCTCTAAAGTCAGGACTCCCTGCATTGCCCAGACCACCGGGTCAGTGGGACTCCTGGGGAGCTGGGACTTGGTCCTGTACTTACAAAGCATCGGGCAGCATCAAATACAGACTCCAAGACAGAGTCCGAGAAATCACTCACCAACCCTCTGCCATTTATTTCCTTTGTCTTACATTTTAGCTATTTTAGAGCCATTTCTATTACCTGTCCTACAGTGACCTTTTATCGCAATTGGCATTTATAACTTTGGGTAAAAGGATTAAGGTTTAAGCTGTATTTTTGTTGTAGTTGTTGTTGTTAATCCTCACCCCAGGGCTTGGGATCAAACCTGCAACCCAAGTATGTGCCCTTGACTGGAAATCGAACCCGTGATCCTTTGGTCTGTGGGCCAACACTCTTACCACTGAGCCACCAGCCAGGGCAAAGCTGTATTTAAAAAAACTTTATTTCTAAAAGGAATACATGCCCCTGGCCAGTGTGGCTCAATGGATTGAGCATCATCCTGTGCACCAAGAATTGCTGGGTCTGATTCCTGGTTAGGGCATATGCCTGAGTTGCGGACTAAATCACCAGTAGGGGGGTGTAAAGGAGGCAGCTAATCCATGTTTCTCTATCCTCCATGTTTCTATCTTCTCTCCCTCTCCTTTCCTCTCTCTAAAAAAATCAATGATAAAAAAATACTTTTAAAAAAATATTCCATTAAAACAATAAACAATAATAAAGGAAAACATTTCATTGTAGAACACTTTAAAAATACAGGGAAATATAAAGAGAAAGTTAACACTGACTTGTATTCCCAGCATCCCAATGTTAACTGTTAACATGATGGACTGTTACTTCCTTGCTTTCTTTGTGCAAAATCCTATGTATTCTTGGTAAAATTCAGTCCTTACTGAAGTTTTATATTTAGCATTAGATGGTCATTAATGTCGCCCGGACACTCATTCTGCTGTGGAAACTTCTTTATTAGATGCATCTCATTTTAACAGTATTCAAGGTCATGGAATATCACTGGTTGTTTCCTTTTTTAAATGTTTTCAAATAGGTAATGTTTCAATGTGCATTTCTGGTTATTTTCTTAGCTAAAAAGAATGACCGAATTTAAAGCTCCTGAGATATACGGTCATTTTTGGCTCAAAAAAGTTGTGGCAATTCCTGCTCTGACCAACAGTCTGCAGGCTTAGTTACCTTAGAAATGTGTGATGTGGTAAACACGGCTAACATTTCCTGGGCTCATCTCAGCCCCCTTCCGGCTCCGCCCCGGAGTGCAGGGCTGAGCAGTACCTGTGCTCCGTGCTTGCCGTGTGGAGCTCTGAACACAGGCGCATCGCAAAGCAAGTGGCAGGGCTCGCAGGAACATGGTCACCCACGTCACGTTCCGTTTCACAGCTACCCTGAAATGGTGACTGGATTTTTCTTCATCCTGATGACCGTGCTGTGGTTCACCCGGGAGCCTGGCTTTGTTCCTGGCTGGGATTCTTTCTTTGAAAAGTACGTGATACGGTCCCCTCCTTAAGAACGACCCCTCACACAAGCTCTTCGGGCAGTTTCCACTGCCCCTCCCCCGACTCTCAGGGGCAGACACAGGCGTGAAGCCGGCAAGGCCTTTGTCCCAGTGGAAGTCCCTTTCGGGGGAACTGCAGCGGGCTGTGAGGAGGAAGAAGGGATGTGACTGAGTCACTTATCCAGCTGTACGAACTTGGCCTTGTTATGAAAGCTCTTAGAACCTCCACTGTCACTAGGATTTTATGAGAGAGTTAAAGGGGAAAATGGCCAAACAGTAAAGTACTTTAGAGACAATGGCCAGGGAGTGGCTGAGGCCTGTGGAGGGAAAGGCAGACTTAGGCTCCTGTCCCAGCCCTGCATCTTCCCCTGAGGGCCAAGGCCACAGGCCTCAACTCCCCCAACACAGGATCTTACTCGAGAAAAGACACGCATGGGAAGGTGAACCTTACAGGAAAGAGGACCCATCCCCATCTAGTCTCCTTTATCCAAGCAGCTGCGTAACACTTGGGACTCGCCCCAACAGTGGGCGCATAAATTCTCACTAAGTCATCTACCCTCCCCAGGCCTTGCGCCTCCAGACACAAACCACTGCCATTAAATCCACTGCTGCACAGCCAGCACACTGGCAAGAAGGAAGGGTACTGTCCCTGTAGACTGCTACAAAGAGGCTTTGGGTTCAGAGAGGTTGTCCTGAGACCTGGTGCTGCCCGGGGGCGCCCTCCCCTCCACTCCCCTCCGGCTTGCTTGTCTCTTTGCCAGGAAAGGCTACCGCACTGACGCCACGGTCTCCATCTTCCTCGGCTTCCTCCTCTTCCTGATTCCAGCGAAGAAGCCTTGCTTTGGGAAAAAGAAGGATGGTGAGAGTTCCAGGGGAGACTTGGGGCTGGCTCTAATCAAATAACATCCAAGTCAGAATTTTCAGGAGCCTGACCCATGCCCTCTGATTCAGCCCAAATGTAGCAGAGCAGCCTCCCAACCCATCCGATTCCTCAGTTCGGCCCCTTTCTCCACAAATCACACCCTTCCCGCTTCACTGGGCTCTCCCTCCCTGTCCGCCTGCGATTCAGGGGAGGACCGGGAGCCCTCGCTGCGGATGGAGCCCATCATCACGTGGAAGGACTTCCAGAAGACCATGCCCTGGGAGATTGTCATCCTGGTGGGAGGAGGCTATGCGCTGGCTTCTGGCAGCAAGGTAGCTCTTCAGTTCTGTTCTTCTTGGGCTGGATGTCTTTCCAGCTACTTTACCAAGGGAATCAATATGGTTCTGGGTGGGAAGATCCTAAGGAGCCGAGGGAGAGGTGAATGTTCACCCAGTCACTGGGAAGGGACGCAGTACAGCCCGGAACTAATGTCCTGTCCTCGCTGAGCTTCTAAGCTAGTGTTCCTGGAACCAGTGTTACAGATCAACTGGGCCATGGAGTCATGGCACGCGGCATTCACACCTCATTGACAGGCCTGCGCTGTCACAAGCAAAAGGTGTACTGGATCCTGTAGCCATGACCTTCTACAGATTTGACAGGGATGATAGGAGAGGTCTGTAAGGGCCCAGAGATGACCCCAGTGACACCCCTCAGATTGTCCCTCAGTCAGTCCATGTGCATATACTGAGCCCCTTTGGAGAACTGATGCTACAGCTGATGTAGATACCCAACTTCCTGATCAAGAGGACTCGGGATGAGATCTTTTAAAGGGGGATGGTGAGAAAGAAGTAAATTAGGAAGTGTTGGCCCTTCCTAAAATGGAAAACAACCCCAAGAATGAATCAGGCTAAAGGTCACATCTTTTCTCCTTCCAGCCTCTCTGTACACGTTACCAAGCGTCTTCAAACTACGGCCCACGGGCCACATGCGGCCCGCAGAGGAGTCTGATCCGGCCCGCCAGGTTTTTTGGGCAGTGAGCGCAGCCGAGGTGTTACAGTAGGAATTAGTAGTTCATATAGTCCGGCCCTCCAGCTCTCTGAGGGACCGTGATCTGGCCCCCACTTTAAAAAGTTTGAGGACCCCTGAACCCATCCTAAACTTGGCTCACTTATGACGGCCCATTCACTGTGGGCCACTGCTTTCTGCATCGTCAATATGTCACAGTCCTACAATCGGAAGGAACCTTGGAGGACACTGAGCCCCATCTCCCACTCAATGTGATGTTTCCTTCCATGACACCCCTGGTTTGAACACCTCCAGTGACAGGGCAAGTCCTTGAGCAGGGAACAAAGAATATTTATTCTCTACTTTCATCTCAGGTTTTCTGATTGTCTTCTGCTGACAGTTCTGCCTCTGCTCTCTGGAAACCTCTCCTAGGTGATAATTATTAAATTAATATCTGCTAATCCCCTAGATCATTTGTTTTCCAACTAAGACTCCTTAGTCCCCTTAACTATTCCAACAGAAGTACTGACCCCTTACGATGCATGTTCTCTTTTTGGGACTCAAACATGTTCCAGAGGTGGCGAGAATAACTCAATTATATTACCCAAGCCCTATCTCTCACGTCTGACCCAACCACCATCCTGTATTTGTATGGAAGCTTTTACAAGGCTTCACTGGCTCTCCTGTCAATTAAATATAAATGTTGACAGGAGAGCCAGTGAAGTCTCTCCATGTCCCAGAGGCCCACCCACAGCTGGGCGTGGAACACTTGCCTCATTTCCGGGGCAATGACACAAGCACCCACCCCTCCACCCTGCTGCTCCGTGCCCGCTGCCCAGAGGCCCTCCACGTTGATGAGGCAAGTGTTCCACACCAGCCGCGCAGCCCGCTCTCAGCAGCCACCGCCTCCCTCGGGACTGAGGGGACTCCAGCAGGGCTGAAAGGACTGGGTGCCGCCATCTTGTGGCTATGGGCTCTGCCATATTTGTGACAGAGTGACAGTTAATTTGCATATTACCCTTTTATTAGATAGGATTGCAGTAAACTAAAACTCCTCTTTCTTTTAATTATCAGCTACTATTAAGCTTTAAGTCTCCAATCAATGCTGTCAATAGTTCTAATTCCAAATTCAGATGTCATACTTATCTTTACAGAATTTCAATTTTTAGTTTTGGTCACTGAGCCTATCCTGGCAAAATCTTTTTCTTTTTAACCAAAATTATGTGTGTATGACAGTTAGTAGATATTTCTGTAAAACTCTGACTCTACTAGTTTAATATCAATAGTATCATTCAGGCACAATATATGTGATTCTTACTGAGTATGAAATAATTTCAGTCTTGACATTAGTGAGGAAAATACAGTATAAAATATTTTCATACCAAGGATTTAAACAAGACTTCCTTTGTTGTGTGTTTTTTTTTGTTTGTTTGTTTGTTTGTTTTTTCCTAACTGCAGTCTAAATTGTCAATTTATCTCAAATTACAGTGTGAAGTTCTGGAGGAAAATAAATGCCATCAAATTATTTCCCTTTACTTACAAGTGCTATTTGGATAACGTGAAAAGTAAAGCTATTTCTTTATAAAAATGTATGATTTCCACTCAGCTAACTGCTCTCCTCCTATTTTTACCCAGAGAGCAGGGCTTAATGTGTTACAAAAGATAACAATTACAGAGCTCCTGTGGGCCTCAAGGCTCTGTACCAACATGAAACGATTAGTCCCCACATGTTGGATTTGCAATACTCAGTCAGTCGAGGGGAAAAATAAAGGAAAGTGCTCCAAGGTAAAAATAAATAAATGAATAAATAAATAAATAAATAAATAAATAAATAAAGGCTATAACAGAAGGAATTCTGAAGGCTCTAGTCATAAGGTGTCTATGAGCTTGCCACGAGGTGGCCAGGGTGCTGTGAAGATCAAATGAGCTTTCGTTGTACTTGGAGAAGAGGAGGGAAAGTAGCCTGCTGACAATAGAGAGAGGCTGTCTTTAACTGAAATGTGAATAGGACTCACAGCTTGGGGAATCATAAAATGTCTTACCTTGCTTTCTGCCCTACTCCTCATTGCTTTATCGCATTTACAGTCTCCAGGGTAAATAGGAAAAATCAGAGCATGGCAACCACAGAAGGGAGAAGAGGAAGGGAGGGCGGGAGATTGCACATGGCAACCTGCAGTTCTTAGTACAAAAATTAGACAGTGCTCTTCATTCTGGGAGAAAAGGGGGAGAGGCCTCACCATTGCCAAATGAACAGCTTCCATCCCTAAGAATTATTCCAAATGGGAAAATGCATTTCCTGGAGTGGACATGTATTAATGTTGCTAATGGAAAAGGTGCAAGAGTGGCAATATGCTTTCATATCTGTGTCATCAAAAAGCACTGGCAGATCGTAGATCCTGATGTCAGCCTTGATGGGATTTGAACCCACAACAGGTTGCACTGAATGCCTATGCTTTCAGACCAGTGAGGAGAGACTTGTAATCTCTTTTCCTTCATTACTCATGTAAAACGTCTAATGGCTCAGCTCTGCCCACTCACTCCCCCTCAAAATACAGGGAAGGTTACTATCTAAAGATATGCCTAGTTTTTTCCCTTCCTCAGGTGATGAGAGAAATCTTTCAAAAGTAGAAGGATTACACTTGAGGGCGAGTGTCAGAGAGTAATGAGTTTGAAGTTGAGGAGCTGATTGCCCCAAAGATCTTCAACCCCTGCCAAGCCATCTGGCAAAGTCCTAAGGATTATGGCAATCAGGGTGGGTGGCTCTCCATTCCTGTGACAGCAACTACCAGGAAACCCTAAGACTAAATGTTGTACCATCATAAAAAAAAAAAAGGATTTTCTGAGCTACAAAAATGTTCTAATCGTATAAAGGAGGAATGCCGCCAGGTCCGGTCTGCCTGAAAAAACAGGAATTAGGTGACTCCTGTGGTTCCTCCAGCCCCTGCCATCCCTGACCTTCTGGAGCCCAGGAGTTCCACTGGAAATGTTCCTCCTTCTGACTGCATCCCTTGGCCCGCAGAGCTCCGGCCTCTCCACGTGGATTGGGCACCAGATGTTGTCCCTGAGCAGCCTCCCACCGTGGGCTGTCACCCTGCTGGCCTGCATCCTGGTGTCCATTGTCACAGAGTTTGTGAGCAACCCAGCCACCATCACCATCTTCCTGCCCATCCTGTGCAGCCTGGTGAGTGAGCAGAGCTCCCACATGTCTGAAGGCCTGGACCCGAGAGCAGCTTCCACGCTGTCCTCTTGCCTCTGGGCCTTTTCACAGCCTTCATCATGGGTGTTCAGACACTGTTTGAAAAATTGTTTCAAATAGCAACTGTTAAGTAAATAGATAAATTAAAAGCTATAGCGAAAGTTCTAGAAACCCTTTCCCAAAAGAATAGGACTTGTTTAAGGGCAGCCATGAATGGAAATGAGAATGAACAAAAGAACCTTATGAATCTATTATTCCAATTTCCCACAATCATCATCAACCTTTCCTGAGATAGATCTAACTGCAGGTGCAGAGGAGGAACTACAGAAAATGGAGACAAAACACTCCCAGAAGTACACCCAGTCGCAAGGACCAAGACCACAGCTCCACCATCACCTCCACCCAATTTCAGTCTGGAAGGTTCTGAGAATCAGGAGCCAGGCCAGCCTCATTCCACGACCTCAGAACACTTTGTTATTAATAGAACAGGGAGGGGAGCAGCTGTCAGGTCTTAGCCTGGCTAAGCAACCCCAGAGGTAATTCAGCAGACACAATCTGAAATGAGAGTTCCTCCCTGCCCCCAAGGAAACAAAGTCCTCCTGCTCTTCCTAACCCCAAACTCTGCTCATTGTTCAGATGCCTCCCTCCAGCCCTGTCTTCCAGCATCCCATTAGTGTGAGCATGGGAATATACTTAGTTAAAACTTGGCAACACTGAGGGCCAGCCGACAGGTTCAAATCCATACTGAGCAAGCTTACCCAGAAAAAAGGCCCCTTGGTTCTGTACCCTAAGGGTGAGGAATCTCGACTTCGATCAAAGCAGCTTATTCATGAGATGTGTGCTTGAAGAAATAATTTCTCAGCTAAAGAATAAAATTTAAAAACCACTTTCTTGGGCCAGCACCAAGATATAAAACATCCCTCCTGGGAGGAATTCAGAGCCCCATGTTTCCATGGTGAGTGGGTAGCATGAGCACGTTTGGCTTGGTCAGCACTGCATGCCATTGAGAGCAGTGATTTAACCAACCCCAGTACAAGGTGTCCAGCCAAGGTTGGCCAGCACCAAGCTAACGTTGAAAGCACAGGAAATGCAAGTCAAATGTCACTGCTAATGCTTCTGTGAATTCTCTCTTCCTCTAGTCTGAAACGCTGCACATTAATCCACTCTACACCCTGATCCCAGTCACCATGTGCATCTCCTTCGCAGTGATGCTGCCTGTGGGCAACCCCCCCAACGCCATCGTCTTCAGCTACGGCCACTGCCAGATCAAAGACATGGTGAGTCACGGGTGCCTCTTCCCGCCAGGCCCAGCCGCCAGGACGGGAATGACTGGCTCCACAGCCTCTTCTCCTAAGATTTATTATTTTGCAGCAGTTGTCCTTGGACTGTTAACACTTAATCTAGAGTGACAGGAAGAATGGTACTGGTGAAAGGTTTGGGGTTGGTCTATAGTAGGGGTGTCGAACTCAATCAGAGAAGGGGCCAAAATCTAAAATCCAGCCTAAATCGCGGGCCGAATGGTTTACTGAACAGTCATAAACTGTCATTGTGATGGAAACGCAGCGGAGTGCAGTGATGACAGCGCGGTGCGGGCCACATTGCAAGGCCTGGCGGGACGGATTTGGCCCACGGGCCTTGTGTTTGACACATGTGGTCTATAGGCACCAAGAAAAGCTCTACTGTGCTCTCCCTCGCCCTTATCTGGGAGAAAGTGGGGATGTGGACAGAGAGAGCTGGGCCAGACACAGGACATGTCCCAGTTCTAGAAGGCGTGAGCTTGCAGTCTTTGCTTCAGTTTCTTCATTGGACCAGTGGGATAGTCATTCAAACAGCTGGTTTATTCCTAGGAGTGAAGTCTGGGTAACTGCACTGAACTGAAGGTAAAAGATATTTTGAAAACAGGTTCCTTTTGTTGAACACTCCCCCAGACAGGAAACTTCTGAAGCGATGTAACCAAATGAAGCAGCCAGAGCTCATTTCTTAGTTTTCAGCTGGGCTTCAAAGACAGCTGTGAGGGGACATCCTGCTGCTGATTTAGTGTTAGTATATCCACCTTCCACTCCTCAATCTGGACTCACTGCTGTGCTGCTCAGTATTCAGGGCTGATGGGGGCTGGGACAGGATGAAAAAAAATTAATATAGATGACTGGGGCCTGTCTGAAATAGGGTCGTCACCCTTGTTGAGAGCCTCAAAAATCAGAGTCCAAACTCATTCTCGGCAGCCTTTAGGTATCACAGGGAAGAAAGAGAGAGTGAGCTTCAAGCTGGTGACAGATATATGTTCAAACTGCTCACCTGGGTCATCTGTGATACTTCATCCTGGCCACTCCTCTCCCCATCTTACTGCACAACCCTCACTCTCATCCTGAGTGCTGCCCCAACTCTGTACCCCTCACCGAACACCACAGCCTGTTACCCTGGAATCAAATGATCAGAGGCAGTACTTTTCAAAAACACCAGAAGACAAGTGAGCCAGTCTTGGGTTCTATTCTCAGCTGGGGCACTGACTTGAAACTTCAATGTCCTTACTTGCTAAGTGAGAGGTTCAGACTAGATGCTCTATGTGGTCCCCTTCAGCTCTACAGGATCTGAATTTAGCTCCTTTATAACCTGCCCCCCACTCACCTGCTAGGAAGCATGGGCAGTTCCCCACCCCAACAGGCCTAGGGGGCCAGAATGACTAATTCATCCAGGGCTTGCCCCAGAAAGCAGAGAGGGGCACATCTACTCATTTGCTTGGAACAATTTCCTAAGATTCATTTTTCCCTTGCAACCTTCCCAACTCAGTGGGCTTGTTGTGGCTACACCCAGTGTGCTTGGTTACACCCCGGTGGAGTGCCAGCTAGCATTACTGTACACTTTTCCATTCGGCCTGGCTGTGCCATCCATTATGCCTCACATCCCCCTCACCTGGGAGTGTCAAGGCCGTGGCAGAAATGGAAGGGGTCAGAGTCATTGGAGTGATATTCCCTCAGAACAGTGTTTCCCAAACTTTTGACACATGTGCACCCCTTCTATAATTTTTGTAATGCTGAGTACCCCTCGTACTCATGAGAATGTAGAATTAGGTGCAGCTAAGCACGGTGCAGTGCATATCCCCACCAAACTCCAGTGCAACGCGTACCCCCACCAAACTCTTCCCATACCCCTGGGGGTACACCTACCACATTTTGGGAAACACTGCCTCAGAAGAAAGCAAAGCTAGCATGTCATGTCACCTTCCCATGGAAGGACTGAGCAGAGGTAGCTGACCCATTCCCCAGGATAAACCCAAAGTATACAACTTCCATGAACTGTCCCTTGAGGAAAATAAAAAAGGGGAACAGTGGCAAAGGCTCCATGGAACACAGTCCCTCCTACAAGTTCCCCATACTGGTTGGCACTTGAAAGGCTCTGAGAAGTTCTTGCTTTGCAGAGACCTGGGTATTTCTGTTTAACACATTTCCCTATCATGTGTTAGGACCTCTTTTTACTGTAACTCTTAATGTTCAAATCTCTGGTGTCGAGTACACACTTTCAGGCCTCCTCTTTGACAGTGAGAGTTACAAGTAAAGCAGATTCTAACAGGCCTCAGATTCTCCCAGTGGCTCCCCACTCCTATACCACCCCCAGCTCCCCGCCCCCCCCCCCCCCCCCCGCGGGTTTCCTGTCCTTTTACAGTCCTGTGCCACCTACAGGCACTTACAAGGCAACAACAGAGCACCAGGCAGTGTCGGGAACAAAACAGGGTCAAGTGAGTGGGCTGTGATTGATGGTGGCAGGGCAAGGCTTAGGTGGGGGCACAGATGGGGAGCACTCAGGGTTCTGTGCCACTGCCTACTCAGAGTGACCAGGGTGTGCTGGTTTGTGTCCTATAGGTGAAAGCTGGCCTGGGGGTCAATGTCATTGGCCTGGTGATAGTGACGGTGGCGATCAACACATGGGGAATTAGCCTCTTCAACCTGGACACTTTTCCAGCCTGGGCTATGGCCAGTAACATCACTGACCGGACCTAACGCAAGTGAGCACACAGCCCAACCAGAGGCGCCGCAGCACTTAGCAGAATCTGACCAACAAACAGGCCAAGCAAAATGCCAGGAGCACAGCACCCCCACCAGAAGAGTCCGCCATCTTCCACCTCAAGTGCGGTTCAGGACGCCTTGCTTGACCAGGGCCCAAGAAAACCTACCACTTTCTCACTTGTTTGTAGTTAGTCTCTGCAATCAATCTCTGTGGGAGACAGGAAGAGGCGAAAGCCGCCCCAGCTGCCCCTCAGAGGCCAGGCCCCACACACTGACCAGCCTCACAAGTTTGATGTTGTTCTTATTCCCCTTTTAGGAGTTGAAGGAGAAATCCAAATCTCTTGCCCTTGCACAGAACCAGTGGCATCTCTTTCGTAGGAAAATCTCACCTAGAACTTGAGACCTTACATCAGCTTCTTTAAGAGTTTCTGTCCCAAGTTCTCCACAAAAAGGCAATTCTTAGTAAGCCCTCTTTGTGGCAGTCAGAACTCTTATCACTGCTCTGATTCCATTTTAAGCATCTCTCTTCAACGGCTTATCTTTACTTTGGCACCAAATTCCTATAAAGTAACAGTGTTCCCCTTTCCATAAAGGCTGGTGCTGTTCTCTGTGTCAACGGAAAAGGAAGCAGAGAAAGAAGACACACTGCGATTAGCATCTCTCTTCACTCATCTCGAGCCATCAGTACCACTGTGCTGGTTAAGTGTTGGGAAGGAGGAAAATTCTCATTCCTATCTTATTAAGTAGGACAAAACTATAATTACGTCTACAGCACTATTAATGATATCTGACTGGCTTTCTTCTGGATGTAATGAGTAGTTCATTCCTGAGAAGACAGGCCCAGAAAGGCCCAAACCCATTAGTCCCTTTCTACGAGTGGATGAGCCCTTTGAGGGGAGAGATGTCATATGACTCTGAAAATCCCAGCTACTTATACTACCTAGTAAACTGACACTGCTTAATAAATGTTTCCCTTGAGAAAAATCACTTTGAGTCAAGGCCTCCTTCTTCCTCCTGAAAACCAAGCCATTTTCTCCACGACAGATGTCCTTGCTGTCCGATAGGATATAGCTCCCAAACTCTCCATTTCCTGACATTATGTACAATATTTCTAATTTCTACCATAGTTACTTGCTACATGTATTTTATGGGAAAGGCTCCCCTACAGATACTGTTTTCATTGATTTTAAGTTCCTATTATCAGCATGTGCCATTTTTCCGCAACAATAGTTTATCAATGAAGGCACTACCTTGGTTTATCAGGTATCTGTGAATTGTCAAATTTCTTTCATGCCATGCAACACTGTCACACTCTGACCACGGCATATGACTGACCAGGTTTACAAGGAGTATAATTGCTCTGCCCTGTCAATGAGGTTACACCAAATTATTTGGCTACTTTAAAAAGTGACTGACCTAATGAGCCCAAATAAAATACCAGTATAAGGTAACGACAGCTGGTTGGATAGAACCAGCATCTCTGGTTATTTTACTTTAAATGTCGGAAATGTCAGTGTTATCCTACTATCAAGAGTACCATCAAATGCCTGACCCATTACAGAACTGAGACAGTAAGACAAAGTGCAGACCGTGAGAAGACTCTGGGAGTATAAATAACTACAAAGAGAAAGAGAAGTTGACTTAGATTTACTGGCCACTGTTCAAGAACCCGACTCACTCCTACAGGAAAAGCTGTGCAACTCCCCACCGCAGTTGCTGCCAATTGATCTGAGGAGCTCAGGCACTCAATCTAGCCAGTTTAGACAGAGCGTTTATTTCAGTGTGGTCTACTGACTTCTACAGAACAGCACTGTTCTCTCCCCAAACCAAAGGTTCAGGCCAAACAAGATAGCTCATCACAGTGACAGGAAATGTTGAATCTGACTAACAATTCCTTGTCATCTAAAACCACTCCACATTGGACATTAATTAGTAGATCTCCTTAGTTTTGTGTCTCTTGCAAAATGTATTTAATTTGATTATCTTCTATCACAACAATATATCGATGGAAAGTTGTAAATGATCATCTTCTACCAGCTTGACACATGGCGAAACCGAGAAACAAAGGCAGTGAGTAGAGTTGCATCTAATTCTCAAGTCAATCAAATCTGTTTAGTCAAAGTTGCCTTTGAAATTCCTTTAAGTCGCCCATGAACATAATGTTTTACCTTATTAGGGGTGTCGAACTCAATCAGAGAAGGGGCCAAAATCTAAAATCCAGCCTAAATTGCGGGCCGAATGGTTTACTGAACAGTCATAAACTGTCATTGTGATGGAAACGCAGCGGAGTGCAGTGATGACAGCGCGGTGCGGGC